ACAGCCTTCAGGACCCGATATGGCCACTTCGAGTTCCTTTTCATGTCCTTCGGGTTGACAAATGCACCCGCCGTATTTATGGACCTGATGAATAGCGTATTCCAGCCATTTTTAGATCTGTTTGTGATCATATTTATTGATGATATTCTGGTTTATTCACATTCAGAGGAGGAGCATACGGACCACCTGCGAGCAGTACTCCAACCCCTCTGTGATCATAAGTTGTATGCTAAGTTTTCTAAATGTGAGTTCTGGTTGAAGTCTGTAGCATTCTTGGGGAATATTGTATCCGATGAAGGTATAAAGGTAGACACTCAGAAGATTGAGGCCGTGAAATCCTGGCCTAGACCTACCACTCCGAAAGAGGTTCGTAGCTTTCTAGGCTTAGCAGGCTACTACCGAAGGATCGTAGAGGGTTTTTCTTACCTTTCGGCACCATGGACGAAGTTGACGCAGAAAGCAACTAAGTTTCAGTGGACAGAGGCTTGCGAGTGGAGTTTTCAATAGCTTAAGAACAGGTTGACCTCAGCGCCACTTCTAACATTTCCAGAGGGTCTAAAGGGTTATGTCGTGTATTGTGATGCCTCGAGTGTCGGGTTAGGATATGTCCTGATGAAACATGGGAAAGTAGTTGCGTACGCTTCAAGGCATTTGAGGAAGCACGAGAGGAATTATCCAATCCACAATCTCGAGTTAGCTGCGGTTGTCCATGCACTTAAGATATGTCGGTATTATTTATATGGTGTTCATGTGGATGTATTTACAGATCATAAAAGCCTGCAATATATCTTCATGCAAAAGGAGTTGAATTTGCAACAGAGGTTATGGCTAGAGTTATTGAAAGATTACGACGTTAACATTCTCTACCATCCAAGGAAAGCTAATGTTGTAGCTGATGCCTTAAGTCGCCGATCTATGGGTAGCTTAGCACATGTAGAGGCTAAGAAAATAGAATTAGATAGAGAGCTTCATCAATTGACTTGTTTGGGGGTTCAGTTAGTAGATTCTGACGATGGTGGAGTTGTACTCCAAAACACTGCAAAATCATCTCTCATAGCTGAAGTAAAGGAAAGGCAATACGAGGACCCAGAGTTGGTAGAAGTCAGAGAGCGAGTTCCACTGCAGAAAAAGCCTATGTTAGAGCTTAGGGAATATGGGGTTATCAGATATAGGGGTTTTCTGTGTGTCCCAGATGTAGCAAGGCTACGAGACAGGATTATGTCTGAGGCACATTATTCGTGGTTCTCTATTCATCCTGGGTCGACGAAGATGTATCATGACATTACGGATGTGTAATGGTGGAACGATATGAAGAAGAACATTGCTGGGTTTGTCGCCAAGTGTCCTAGTTTCCAGCAGGTGAAGGTAGAGCACCAGAAGCCCGGAGGGCTAATGCAGACTATAGAGATCCCGACGTGGAAATGAGAGGTGATAAATATGGACTTTGTCACGGGTTTGCCTCGTTCTCATCGTAAGTTCAATTCTATATGGGTGATAGTCGATATGTTCACGAAATCAGCCCATTTCCTACCGGTCAAATCTACATATACAACCGAAGATTATGTGAAGTTATATATTAAGGAGATAGTGTGGCTACACGAAATACCAATATCTATTATATCTGACAGTGGGTCCCAGTTTACAGCACATTTTTGGAGGTCATTTCAAAGAGGTCTAGGGACTCGGGTGAATCTTAGCACATCATTTTATCCACAGACTGATGGACAAGTCGAGCTCACAATTCAGACGCTCGAGGATATGTTACTAGTATGTGTATTGGATTTTAAAAGAAGTTGGGATGAATATCTACCTCTTATCAAGTTTGCATATAATAATAGTTACCACTCCAGTATCCAGATGGCTCCGTACGAGGCTTTGTATGGGCGTAAGTGCAGATCTCAACCATCAATGATTGGTAAACCGGCAGATAGGGTGGTTTGATGTTGGAGAATTTGGGTTACATGGTCCAAACAAGGTTTAGCATGTTGTAGAAAAAGTAAAGCTTATCCAGGAGCGACTGTTGACAGCTCAGAGTCGTCAGAAGTCATATTCTGACATGCGGTGACGAGACTTAGTATTTGGGGTTGATGACTGGATATTCTTAAAGGTGTCGCCTATGAAGAGCGTGATGAGGTTTTACAAGAAAGGCAAGCTTAGCCCACGGTATATTGGGCCTTATAGGATTATTTCAAAAGTGGGCCGAGTAGCTTATGAGTTAGTTTTTCCCTCGGAATTGGAGTCTGTCCATCCGTTGTTTCACATACTATGCTACGAAAGTGCATTGGTGATCATACCCGTGTGGTGCCCACTGATGATGTACAGATCATGGAGGACTTATCATACGAGGATGTTCCTACTAGACCAAAAAATCTGCAAGCTACGAAATAAGGAGGTAGCCTCCGTGAAAGTTTTATGGAGAAGTAAGAACATGGAGAGATGACGTGGGAAGCAGAGGAAGAAATAAAGTCTAAATACCCCCACCTATTTAAAACTGAAGATATGGCTCGAGATGGGATACTTCAGCCCAATTCTATTCAGGCCAGTAGGTCATCAGGTGAGCTCTTATTTTTGACTTTCAGTATTTATGATTGACGGCTGTGTGAGGCCAAGTGTTGCTATTTATGGACATTCGCCATGTGTGGCATGTATATTATGTTTTCTAGCTATGTGTAGGTTGGTTTTAGTCTAGTGTACGGAGGAGACTCTAGCAAAAATTTCCAAAGTCTCTAAGAGTAAACATTCAAGGACGAATCTTTCTAAGGAGGGAATGGTGTTACACCCTATATTTTCATATGTAAAAGTACGTCGTAAGCAAACTAATGTAAGAAAAAAAATGAGATCATATTTGAAACTATATAAAGTAAGTTATCATGTTACCTCATAGGATAAAAATATTGAAGATTATGAACAACAAGTACAAAGAGGGTTGGAAGGTTCAGAAGCTAAAGAAATTGAAGAAAATAATATTTCATCGAAAGTCGACAAGTTGGCAATGTTATAACCTGTACCTTCGGGGTGAGACTAGGGTTCTTAACATTATATTAGGGTTATGTTATGATTTATTTTAGTCTTATGATAGTCATGTGTTATGTTTTGAAGTCAAGTAAATTGTAGAACAAAAGTCGATAAAAGTCATCACAAGTTACGTCCATAAGTTTTACTGAAATTTGGGTCAAATGTCACTACCATTTTCTCCCAATATACTTAGAGTTACAGGGTGATCAACCCATCAAATTGAATATGTATGCATCTATTTTCTAATAGTTAAACCGTTTGTCAATAAGGCATTGGAGTAGATAGATATATGCTTTTTTGCGAGATTGCGCAGACTATTAGGTGACAAGTAGGTGTGTCACCTTCTTGCTTAAATGAGAGGACTACATATGTCCAAATAGGGACCAGTTCAGGTTGGCCAAAGAGACCTTTTAAGGGCCTATTTCCTTCATATATAACACTGATAATAGGGCATAAAAACCATAGATAAGCCTCTACAAAAATCCTCCCAAAAATTGAACACAAACCCTAGTTGATTTTCTTTTCTTTTCAAGTTCTAGTTGGAGGAAAACCAAGGGTTAACTTCTACGGCTGACAAACCAACAAAAATATACATACAAGGCCGACATTATTAACATACTGCATTGACTGACAAAATATGTCTACAAGCCTCTACTGATGGATGTACTATGGTCAAAATAGGGCCCCGACCTACCCATAATATATATATACATATATACATAATATGTACTCAAAACCCTAGACTTGGCAACTCCGTAGGATGTGGAGCTTACCGATCAAGCTGAACACGGACATCACCTATGGAGGAGATCTACCAGTCTGTGTATCCGAACCTGCATGCATGAAATGCAGTATCCCCGGGAAAGGGACGTCACTACGAAATAATGTACCGATTATGAAAGTCAATAGAATAAATAAAAGCTGAAAACTAAGCTGATAATATAATCACCGAAAGTAACTGAGAGTCAAAGACGATCTCGAGATATACTTACCTGCTGATACTAACTCAACTCTCTCAGTATAGTAAGTAAAATAGTTGTACGGCCCTATAAGGCTCGGAACGTGTAACTGCTCGGTTGTAGTAGGCTCGCTAATAGGCACTCGGCCATACTAGGCTTGGTGTCTCGGCAATTCTGGGCTTGCTCATAGGCTCTCGGCCACAGTAGGCTCGATATATAACTTACCATCTGATCGGAGGTTGCCCAATAGGGGCCTGCCCACCGATTATAGTTCGATGGTGGTGAAATATTGTAATACTGTATGTATATCGACTCTCTGCTCTCTTGACTGGAAGAAGATAACACTTAACTGAATATAAAGTCTCGATAAGGAATAATATTACAACTTATGAGACTAGGATAATGTACATAAGTTCAATAATATGAACTTCTCTTTATGGCTCGTTATCAAACGCATGTAGTTAGAGGATCATGCCAAAATGAAGGAAAGGTTTAGCCCTAACATACCTTATTACAATCTTTCTAATAACCACGTTGAACTCATCTCTTTGCACCATAATCTACAATAACGATAATAATACACTATTATTAAGTTACGAAAGGTACAACAATCGCATAACGAACGACAAGCTTATTTTATATTAAAACAGGCAGCACTCCCCTATAATCTTTACTTTCTCCCAATTCAAGATAACACCAACAATACAAGAACCACTACAAGAAATCTGTCTTTTAATAGCGATATTTAGTAGAGACTTTATTTATTGCTACAAACAGTATATTAATTGTGGCGACCTGATAAGTGGCTATAAAATAAAAACTTTTAGCGGCGACTTTTGCATGTCGCCTCTAATATGTGCCACTAAATCCTGAATATTTTGTTCCTGCTATGACCAAAATGTTGGCTCCAAATATTTAGTAGTGATTAATAGAGAGTCGTCGCTGAAGGTATTGTTAGGGCAACTGGGTCGCCTCTAATAGTGTAAATATCTGACATTTAAAAATAAAAAAGTAAATAAAAGACCCTAAATATACTAAGTCCTAAATATAGTAGAAGGCCGAAGGTCCCTTTCTTCTTCCCTCTTCTCGTTTTCTCTCTGCAAAAGCTCCATTACTTTTTCCAAATTCTCAAATTAAATCTTTCACTTTTGTTTAATCATAAGATGTGAACCTAATTTATGAAACCCAAAAGCCCTAACACCATTTGTATTCTAAGATTATACTCAAATCAGGTAATGTGTTCAAACCCCAAATCCATTTGGGTGTTAAATGCAGTTAGCAAGAGTGACTATTTCATTATATTCACCTCTAATTTCTTTAATCCATTTGAAATCTACAGGAGTAGAAAGTAATTTTTCCAACAATATCATCGTGTAAAGCCCTTCTCGGTGTTGATGATCTCTTCGCTGGGTAAGTTTTTTTTTTTTTTTAAATTATGAACTTTTTGGTGATTGCATGTTTGGTATTCCTCTCAAAATACTGAAATGAGATGTTGTGTGGTATGGGTCTGTTACTATAAAGTCTTTTCACTTTTTCTGATCTGGTAAACAAAAGTATAACTGAATCAATGAATGTGTCCAGTGAATGAAGTGGTATCACCAAACACAGTCAGGCCTAGTACAGAAGACTAGTGCAAGGTATAATAGTAGGATAAAACAATATACTACTTTACTTTAACAAAAAGAAGAAGAAAAAAAGTAAACAACATCAGACAGATATAGCAAAAGAGCTGTTTTCTGTGTATCATTTTTGTTGGCGAAGTAAGAGGAGGAATGGAGTTTTAGAGGCAACATAAACAAAAAGAGTAAGGAAATACCATGATAATGAATTCAGAAAGGGGCCTAATATATCTTACCTCTCTTCTTGTTGTAATCTGGGAAGATAGGAACTTTATGAGAATTATAATTCCTTGTTCTTGGGATGAGTTAGAGGCTGTATCCTATCTCATATAGTAACTACTGCCTTTTTTTCATTTTTCGCTCAAGTACTTCCCATCTAGTTATGTTCTTGTAGTTTTGTTGGTTTTTGTGGTCCTTGAGATTTATTAATTAATTAATTAATTAATTGATTGGTATTCTAAAAATAGGAATGGATAAAGGTTGGTTGAATATTAGGAATAGAGGTGACCAAAGATATGGAGATGGAGTAGATGGCTTTCTTAGTTGGACATTCAGTCAACCAAGGGGGAGCACTATGATTCGATGTCCTTGTAAAGGGTGTATGAATACTGCATTCAAGCTAAAACCCGATGTAAGAGGAGACTTATTGAAGAAGAGTTTCTGGGATTCTTACAAAGTGTGGGACTTGCATGGAGAACATTACATTCAAGCGGCAAACATAGAGGCTAGTGTGTCTTCTGCAATAGAAATTGTGCGTCAAGAGATGCAAGCTGATATGGATCGAAAGTTGCAAGAAGAACGTGAACAAATGGCTGCGGAGTTGAAAAGGAACATGGAGCAAGAGTTACAAAGATAGTTGAATGAAAAGCTTGAACATGTCAATCAAGAAGTAGAGAACAGGGTCAGTCTAGAAGTAGCAAAGAAGATCCAAGAACAACTGGGTGCTCTCATGACCAGAATGCAACAGATAATTTACTCTTAATATTTTTATACTCTTCTTTTTTTATATTTCTTCTTCTTACCGACTTGAATCTTCTTCCATCCTTCTTGACAATTCTTTTTTTCATCTTCTCCTTCTTTAATTATCTTTATGACAATAAGTTGTTGGATTGGTACATGTTCTGGTGCGATCTAAAATTTTGGTGCGATTCTGAAATTTTAGTGCGATTCTGAAATTCTAGATATGCAAAATCTAGTTGGACAATCTGGATATGCTGTTTTTGCATGGCTGTTTTTGTCTTAAATTCTGGATATACAAAATCTGTTTTTGGACAATTCTATTTTTGCTTAAAGGATGCATTTTTTGGACAATTCTGTTTTTGCTTAAAGGATGCCTTTTATTGAAACAGACTTGTGTAGGCTAAGGTATCAAAGGTAGCGTTTTATAAGTAGAGTTTAGGAAAATGTTAGTATGCAGTGGATGATCTTGGGTAAATTGCTTCTTTTTGGAAATTTTTTTGTGCTTTTCCTTTTCAGTATCAATTGAAAAGGAAAGAGAAGGTTTTACGTTGTTTTGGTCAATTTTACGGGGAAGAAGGAAAATTGCAAAGTTCATTATAGAATTTTCTTTTCAGTCGTAATCGCAAAGCTCGTGTTGATATAATCCTATCTATATATTTTTTTCTTTAACTGTTTGGCTAAGGTTCTTTATGATATTAATATTTTCAATTGCAATCGGCTCACTTCTTAGAGCAGTTTGATGGATGTAGTAGGTGGCAATGACGGGTAGGGAGATGCCTTTTGGGAGGATTTTAGTATGCATAGTTTCTGTTGAAATGCTTTGACTGGTGGCTTTGTTGTTGGAGCATGTATTTTCCTTCACAGTGATTGATCGGTTTTCTTAGAGTTGGAAGTAATATAAATTGCCTTTGACTGGTTTTCTTAAGCAGGTAATGAGGAGTTAATATTTCTTAATGGTATTAAATCTTTTGAAAGAAAACTACACTATCCAGGTTCTGTTTAAGTATTAAAATAAAAACAGAAGGTAAATGGATTCAAGTTGCATTTTAACCTTTAAAGTGCATGTCTCTTTTTTTCCCAATTTAAAATTGCTCTCCTCTTCTCAATGTCGTAAGAATTTTTGAAAGAATTGAGAATATCTTTCTGGATAGCAAAACCTTTTTCTAAATATGTCATACATGTTAAATTAGTTGGTCTTTTTAGCTGTAAAGCATGTCATACTTAGGAGACGTGGTTAATGGTTGAAAACAATTCTATGTCATCCATTGTACTATTAGCATTAGATTATGAGAATTATCAAAGTGATCTTGTATTTTTTTGTGTAATAACAGGGATGAGGTTCTTAAACAATGAATACAACCAAGGAGGGGCTTCAGGGCACTTAGTATTTTGGTCTTTTGGGATGTATATGCATACAATGACAATGAATTGTTATTCATTATATATGTAATTCGCATTTTAGTAATGGAAGTATTTAATATCCGACTTAAGATATTCTTTTGGTGTTTGTAAAATACTATTGGATGCGTTTATATATTTTTGGTCATTGCAATTGCTGAATTAAATAGGTTGCAGTGGTGACAAAATCTTATTCAGAAAAGTATTTGTTGAAATATTGAAGTTGCCACTTATTGTTTAATAGTTTTTGTAGCAATTATCATTGCCACTAAATGTCATTCTCCAGCAACAAGCTCAGAGTCGCCACTGATGGTTGAGTGTTTTTGTGGCGAAAAGCTGCCACTGACAGTTATTTATTTTTGTGGCGACTTGCCCCTGAGTCTATTTGGTGGAACTACTTTTGTGGCGACTTGGCATACCTTTTATGGCGACACCCTGTAGTCGTCACAAATAACGTTTAGTAATGGACTCACTTGCAGCAAGTCCAATGTCGCTGCTATAAACATTTAGCGACGACATATGATGATTTTGTAGCGACTATGGTCGCCGCTAAAAGGAAGATTTCTTGTAGTGAACACAACAATAACAACATATATACATTATTTTCTAACCTTATATACATCACAAAATAATACAAAACAACCCAGCACATCCCAATCTCTTAATACATAAAACGACCACCGTAGTAGTGTCAAACAACCCGAAAATATTACGACGAATGAACAGCCCACAATCCTGCATTTATGTAGTGTTTATACACACCCTTTCTCCTCAAAAACACCATAAAACAGCAGCAAAATACGCAATCCAACAGCAACACAAAATATTCCACAAAACTATCCACTACAAGTTGAATAACTCGAACTCACGGCTTTCGATCACCGTCCCGTGAGTTCTTACAATTATAGAAAGACTTTCCATACATTTCCAGAAGAAATAATGGATGAAAGAGGCCAGTATACTTACCTTATTTATTGAATATCTCAGTTCCTATGTTCAGTCAGAGCTGGTTTCCGTTTAGTTTTATATTTTATCTTGCAATGTGGCCCTATGGCCCAAATATGACATTGTATGTTCAGAGTTCCTCAATCTCAAGTTGGTACGCTCGGTTAAGTGAGGCACCGGGTGCCGGTCTCGCCCCCAAATTTTGGGCATGAAAAAATGATGTGCAGAAGCATAATATGAGTACACCACAGTTGGTACCTAGTAAGTAAGTCTATTGTGACGAGGGTAGATGCATTCAGATACTCTCTCTCTCTCTCTCTTTCTCTCTCTCTCTCTCTCTCTCTCTATATATATATATATATATATATAAAAACTCAGAATTGAAATAGTAGAGAATCTCATGAATAGCAAGAATCAAAGATATCAACAGGCGAACGATGTTAAACATGCTTTTCCAGTACAAGAAATAATCATAACAATGCCCATATATAGTATTAAAAGATAGTATGCTCAAATAAAAGAGTCGGGGCCTCCCAACTAGCATATAAATATCATGCAATAATGAGTCCAAATTAAGTATTCTTATTCGAAATGCATGCATATGCTCAAGAATTACAGATAAAAGGTTCACACAGACTTTAAAACAATCATACGAATATGTGCTCATGGAATCTCTATGTGACTACGGAATATTTAAGCAATTCAACATATCAAGGATAAGTTGCCATGCCTTTGTAAATAATCATAAATCTAGGCATGATTTCTAACATGAATAAGAGAGCAAACGTAGTCACATAAGCCAAACAAATCATGAATCAAATGAGCACATATTCAAAATAAGGCATACAATATTCTAATTCTATCCGGGTCATGATATAAATTTGGTAAGTGCATATGTACTTTCTACCATATACATCACCCCCAATATCGTAAACGCATAGCAATTAAGTCAAATCTGAGGGGTTTTCCTCTTAACAAGGTTATCCAAGAGATTTACCTCCAACCGGTAAGCTAAAAATCACCAAAGATGCCAAATCCTCAAAAATTCAACTCCAAACGGCTCGAATCTAATTAAATACAACCTAATAACATCGAACAAACCATAGAAATCGAACCCCACGATAAAGATTGAAACGATAATCAAATATACAAAGTCAACCAAAAAGTCAGTCCAGGCCCGTTTTCCGAACCAGACATAACTCACAAATCCAGAGCACCCGTTCTGATACGAGTCAAAATATTTTATTCAAAACCAGCTCTAAATCGGGTTAAATCTCAATTATTCACATTCCAAAAGTTTTGCCAAAAATTCCCAAATTCACTTTAAAATTCAAGCTTTTAGGTGTAGAAATTCATGAACAAATATGATATAAAGTCAAATCCAAGTGTTAATTACTTACCTCCAAAGATGTAATGAATTTGTTCTTCAAAATATCTCACTCTCGAAGTTTAGGGCTCAAAATATGATAAAGTGTGTAAAAGTCCCTAAATTCCAACCTAAGTATTCTGCCCAGGTATACTCATCGCGATTGCGGGACCTACATCGCGATCGCAGGACCTACATCGCAATCGCGAAGGTCAAAATTGCCTAGCTGCTTCCCACTCTCCGTGAATTCAGAGAACTAACCACGAATGTGATAACTACCCAGCTAAGCCTACACGAATGCGGTCCCTCACTCGCTAATGCGAAGGCAATCCTGGCAACAAACTTCCACGAACATGGCTCCTGAATGCGAACACGAAGCACCAGACACCAGCCCTCCACGACTGCCTCCCCACTTCCGCAAGCGCAAAGGTAACACTTCTCCTGCTAATTCTTCTACTCCGCGATCGCGAGCTTCTCTGCGCGATCGCGAAGAAGCCTCCATGCACTAGAAAAGCAATTCAAAAATAAGGAAAAATGGTATGAAACCACCCCGAATCAAACCCGAGCCCCCTAGGACCCACTCCAATCATGCTAACAAATTCCAATATCTTATCCAAACTTGTCCAAGGGTTCAAAACACCACAAATAACATCAAAATCACGAATCAACGATCCAAATCTCTCTCTCAAAAAATAAAAAATAAAAAACAATCACTCTCTTAATATCAAGAACTTCTAACTTGCAACCAAGCATCCGATTCAAGCCTAACCAATCCGGATTACAAAAAAACTTAGTACATAAGTACCAAATGACATAACAAACCTATACCATTATCCAGAACAACCATCAATTCTGATATCATCAAAGTCAATCCTCGGTCAAACTTATGAACTCTCTAATCCTACAAATTTCTCAACTTTCAGCAAATAGTGTCAAAATACCCTAGGAACCTCCAAATCCAATTTCAAACATACACCTAATTAAAAAATTACCATAAGAAGCTATAGGAACCATCAAAACACCAACACGAGATCGTTTACAAAAAAGTCAAACCTTGGTCAACTCTTACAACTTACGCTTTCAAAATTAAAGTAAGTGTCTCAATTCACTCCAAAATATTCTTGAAGCCAAACCAACCACCCCCGCAAGTTATAAAACCATAAACACACAGACAAAAAGCATCAAATAGGGAAACGGGGCTTAAATACACAAAATAACCGGTCGAGTTGGTACATTCTCCCCCTCTTAAACAAACGTTCGCCCTCGAACGTGTTTTAAAAGCATACCTAGAATGAAAAAAGGATGAGGATATCTACTCCGCATATCATGCTCGATCTCCTCGGCAGGTTGACTTCTCCACTAAACCATCACCGATGTAATGTCTTTTAACCTCAGCTTTCGAACCTGCCTATCCAAAATAGCCACTGGTTCCTCCTCATAAGCCAAGTTCTCATCCAACTGCACCGAACTGAAATCTAGCACATATGACTAATCCTCATGATACTTCCGAAGTATGGAAACATGAAATACCAGATGAACTCCCGACAAGCTGGATGGCAAAGCAAGCCTGTAAGCCACCTCATTCACTCTCTCCAAAATCACAAATGGGCCAATATACCGAGGGATCAACTTGCCCTTCTTCCTAAACCCCATCACACCCTTCATAGGCGAAACTCTGAGAAGGACCCTCTCATCCTCCATGAAATCCACATTATGAATCTTCCTATCATCATAACTCTTCTATCTGGACTTCGCTGTATGAAGCCGCTCCTGAATAAACTTCAACTTCTCCAAAGCATCACAAACTAGATAGGTGCCCAACAACTTAGCCTCCCTAGGATCAAACCAACCAACTGAAGAATGATATCGCCTCACATATAAAGTCTCGTACGGATCCATCTGGATACTAGATTGGTAGTTGTTGTTGTAGGAGGACTCTGCTAACGGTAGAAGCTGGTCCTACTAACCCATGAAATCAATAACGCATGCTCTCAACATATCTTCCAAGATCCGAATGGTCCGCTCGGAATGCCCGACCGTCTAAGGGTAAAATGTAATACTCAACTCTACATGCGTGCCCAACTCACGTTGAACGACTCTTCAAAAATGTAATTTAAACTAAGTGCCTCGATCTAATATGATAGACATAGGCACACCATGCAGGCGAAAAATCTTTCTAAGATAGATCTGAGCTAACTGCTCAGAAGTGTAGGAAGTCTTGACAGGAATGAAATGTGCAGACTTGGTTAATCTCTCCACAATGACCCACATGACATCAAATCTCCTAAAGGTCCATGGCAACCCCATCACAAAATCCATAGTGATACTCTTCCACTTCCACTATGATATATCTAGCCTCTGAAGCAAATACCCGGTCTTTGATGTTGATACTTGACCTGCTGACAATTCAAACACTATATAACATGCCTAATAATGTCCTTCTTCATTCTTCTCCACTAATAATGTTGCTTCAAATTACGATACATCTTCGTAGCACCTGGGTGAATAGAATACCACGAACTATGAGCCTCCTCAAGAATCAACTCCCTTAAACCACCTACATTAGGAACACAGATCTGACCCTGAAACGTCAATACCCCATCATTCCAATAATCACCTCCTTACTCGCTGCACTGTGTCCTTAAGGACAAGCAAGTGGAGATCATCATAATGGCAAGCCTTAATATGCTCAAACAAGGACAACTGTGATACAACACAAGCGAGAACCCTGCTTGGCTCAGAAATATCTAATCTCACGAATCTATTGGCCAACATCCATAGCTAAATGTCTCTCCATAGTTGGAATGAATTCCAAACTCCC